CCACGGGAATTTGGGGACAAGTTTTAGAGTTATCTGGGGTATGATATGGTGTCTCAGACGAGACTAAAATGGAAGACCCTCTCCCTGCCACAAAAGGGCGGATCGCACCCCGATTTTTTAATTTCCCTAACAATTTCTCAAGCTTACTGGGCCCTAATAATATGTTTTTCCCCGACCCACCCGGCATCAGTTGTAACCTGACTTTTTCATCATTTTATCCATCCACCACATTCCATCATCATCAACATCTTGATCAGCCGTTGCACAACACCCCGCTAAGGCATTATCTGGGGGGACATCAACGGTATCGGAGACACTGTGACAAGCCGTAACTAGGAGTCAGTGATTGGTGCGTACAGCAATTCTGTTTTGAGTTTTGATGAATGTATGTATCTACAAGCTTGGCCTGAGAGCTTGGAGGCCCCCAGACTCGTTCTTGCTTTACTCTAGTTGTTCAGCGGGACTCTGTGGACTTTCAAGTAAGCAAAAACCATGCTTATACACCACTGGGTTTCTCGAGTATGTGGTTTCAAGGGAGATCGATGAGGTCAAGTTGGCCCCTGGGCAAGAAGCAAGCAAACAAAGCCCCTGATTATAACGAAAGGTCTCATTTCTTCTGAGGATTCGGCACTTCAGATATGCTTCTTTTCTGTGGCCATTTCATATAAGCAGACCATTTGACATCGATTTGACCAGCAAATATAGTCCACAATTGCTGATGTTTTTCACGGCAGATTTGAGTTGTCCATGTGAGGGTGCATGTAAGCATTGGCCCCCCCCCCCTTCTTCCCCCTGAGGCACTTTTTTTTGTTGGAGCAGAAATGTGAAAAGAGTGGGGCTGACTGGCTCAGAAGAAAGAAAGAAAGAACGATCCCGGTAACCGGTCTTTCTATTTCTGGCCTATTGGACTTGAACGTTCTCCTTTGATCATTTGATCAGAAAAGAAAATCTTGACCTGTACCATTTAGTCGCTTTGCATCACTCGTCGTCTACCAGCAACACATGCCCACTTTGTCTGACCCGCCTTCGGCTCAGGGGAGATTCCATTGACATCGACTCGCCCGTTCTGGCAGCGTCTATTAGACGACCAATATCCTCATCCACAGACCAAGTGCCGAGGTGTTGAGCATCACCACCATATCAACGATCCCCTGCGACCAAACACTGCTTTTGGGCCGTTCACTTTTTGCCTGGTTCGGTCAAGCTGAATGGTGAGCTGTGCATAGATAGAGCACAGTCCTCTACTCATAGCTGCATGTTCTGCAGGGCCACTTCAAAATTGAACCCTGCCCTTGTTTCTTCTGTAGCTACACTTATCTTCTCATCAAGATGCCACCACGGCAACAATCATCACGATCCTCGCCTATCGACACTCGCAACAGTTCTCCAGAAATCAGTCTCCCATCTCAACACCCCACTGACAGGAAAGAGATCCACAACAGAGAGAACCGCCCGGAACAGCCTCTCGGTGCCCTTCTTGGTAAAAACCCTCCATTCGCTGATCATTTTTTCGGAGAGGTAAGAGCTATCTTTTACCCGTTGTGTTCTGAAATGCCTAGCTTGCTGCTTTCGGGATCTCTTCCCACATTTTCCGGTTAGCTACTGGGAATAACACTTTTGGCAGCCTTCCAACATGGACCGCCCTCTCCGTCCATCCACACCTCAGGAGAATGATCATGGTGACATGAGCATCGTCTCTGCCCAGAATGGCCACCGCGGTGGCAATGGTGATCCATCTCTGGTCACCGATACCGACCAGTCAGCCAACCCTCATCAACCTGGCTCCGTTAGTCACAACCAAATCGATATCGAGAACACTCCCATCAGCATCGATCACCTTGTCATTCAGCAACTGCGCGAGGACCTGGATGCCTATCGCTATGATCTAGAATTTGCTCGCGCTCAACTGGATCCGGTCAATGCCACGGATATGACCCCCGCTGAGACCCGCACCTTCCAGCTGCGCATTCTAGATTTGGGCCACCAGATGCGCATGCTACATCATCGCATCCAGTTGATGCAGTTTACCATGAACAATCCGCGTTTTGGTAACGGCATGGCCGGCAGAGCCGGTGCCGCTGCCTCCAACGCGTATTGGGGTCCATATCCCCCGGGCACCAGCGTTCAACCAGGTGCTTACGGCGCTGGCCCCAGTTCAGTTCCCATCGCAAATGGTCACTCTATGATGCAATCACCTGCTGCGTTCTCAAGTTATGAGTATCCACAAGAGCGCCGTGGTCCCGGACGGCCTCTTGGTTCTAAGAATCGTCCCAGGCCATCTCTGGATCCGCAGCAGGCTCCTCCAGTCTCTGGGAACGGCTCGGCGAAGGCATCTGCGCTGGCATCTGCAGCTGCCTTGGCTTCAGCTGGTGCAAAGAGGGATCACTCTTCTGAAATACGTGTTGCGACTCGTAAGTGTGACTTGTTCTCTGTCGCCGCATGGTTTCAGGCCGGGACTTGTTTATAGTAGTCACTGACAATTTTCTAGCCACTGGCACAACAGCAGATGGAGAGCACCCCGCCAAGCGCCCTCGCCTTGATGTGCAGGTGGGCTCCCCTATGGGCAACAACCCTGAGACTGATGAGAAGCCTACCCAGAATGTTATAACTGCGGCAAGCAACACCGGAAACCGTATGCAACAAAACAGCGAAGACCTGATGGACGCCGAGATGCAGTCTCACACAAGTCCAGGCCGGCCGGCCCCGTCCGGTCTAGCCGCCCCCTACGGAACACCATCTGCCCCCGTGGTCCCTACCCTCTCAGCAGGCCCTCCATCCTACGACGGTCCAGCTGGCGACGAGTACAAGCGCTTGGGCGGATGGCGGTGCCGGCTGTGTACCTCGCAGAAATACCTCAACGCGCCACCACCCAAGCAGCCGTCGGAGCCAGGTCACTGGCCCCTGCGTGATATCAGTAAGATGGTCACGCACTTCACGCGCATGCATGGCGAGCATAACAACGTCGAGCGATGTATGGAGCTCGGTGCAGCCCTGGGTGCCAACCGTGGTCCGTTTAGGCACTGGTTGTTTGTCACCAAGAAGGAGAAGACCATCGACATTGACGCTGTTAATACTGCTGTGGAAGAGCTGGAGAATGGACGCATGCCGGCGATCTTGAGGAAAGTGAGCACGAGCGCCGCTAACTTTCCCCGGGATTAGTCGTCGGGTGAAGGACAGGTGTGGGTTGTTCTGACAGCTGCAACGCCTGCAAGTTTTTCTTATTGATGATCTGGTCACGGGAAACCATTCTGGCTCCTGGTCGACAGGATCATCGGAGATCTCGATCCTATGGGGCTGGGTGTTTCTGAGGGTCTAATGGCGGGCGAATGCCTTTGGCTGAGGTGACATAGGGTTGTTTAACAGGCTTTTGCTTACGCTGCATTGGGGTTACCATGGTATGTGCCAGAGGAAAGGTCTAAGGAAAGAGGATGCTGGACTTACTTGCTTCTGATCACCTCGCTTCTGACCCACGCCATGGGACGAATTGCAAGTGGTGCAAGCAAAGATGCAAACTGATGTCTGGAACCTCAGCGAGGTAGTGAACTCGTCCATCAATATGATGAATTTTGGCTTGATGCCCGCAAAGGACATGAGGAGGCAAAGGCGGTTGTTAATCGCATTTTTTGGGTCGTTAAATGCAGTGCGCGTCCGAAGTTGATGAGACGGCACTGCGGGGGTGGGCGCTCAATGGACGGCGATCATGGCTCATGGGGATGTAGATCGTAGTACATTGCAGTGCTATCATGAAGAGGTCTCTTGCAGATGAGGACAAATACACAAGCCAGGTGTTTGACAGTCTATTCTATCCACCACGATGAGATGTGAGATGCTGGTGAGATGCTGCTTCCCTGGCGTGAAGGCCTTCATCTTGTCCACTTGTGTGTAGCCGAACCGTGAACAGAGCTTTTGAAGCACTATACATACAGATGTCGCGTTCTTGTCCTTGAATCACCTGTCTTTGGCGGAACGACTTTTGGAAGTACGTGTGCAACGTCTACAGGGGTGGCATTCGAAGACGGCAGGAGGCCCGTGTAGGTGGCACAGGGTCTGTTCCATCGTGCCTTCCCACTCCGTCATGGCCCTGATGTATAACTCATATAATTCTTACTCTAATAACTTTATTATTTGGGTTTGATTAGTATGATGTGTCTTACTGTATACTATCCTGTTCTGAAGGTAATATCATATGTGGACACACTTACTACATGTTTAGGGGATGGTGGTCAACCTTGCTCGACATAAGACGTACGCACCTTCCTAAACTTCGGAGAGGAAACTCATAGACGCTCTACTATACCCCTTATCCTCAATTCTTGGGTACCTAGGTATTTATAACCCTATTTTGCAACTACCTAGGTATGAACCAAGGCGACATATCCACTCGCGATTCTTGGTGTGTGGTTATAGAGTCATTAGACTGTGATGCTTTGCTTGCTCTAGTCTTTATAAAGATAACGATATCAAATTGTTTGGAACTATGAGATGAGAGGAGAGTTTTGTAAATGCGTTATACCCAAAGAGCTGAGCTTAATAACGCGTATTGGTCGCCGAGAGGAACTGTTGAGATGAGATAATGTCTCCCTGATAAAACCCTCGAGTCAATCAAGGATTCTTATAGATATAGAGGAAAGTAAACATGGACCTAACGATCCAGCACATGGTTATAACGAATGATTGCCCGAGTGATCGATGTAGCCCTAGATAATGACAAGCCCCCCGGTGGACTACGGTCGTCTCTCAAAGCCGAATCCGCCGTAATAATACGTTCTGTAAAGCAGTATACCGCTCTAAGATATGCACTTGCAAAGTCCTCTATAGATATTTCACTCTGAAGTATAAGAATACAGATTTTAGAATAACAATGATTTGGGTTTAAGGGGCGGCCGCCTTATTATCATTGTGTACTTCGATGACTAACCCTGACCCTGAGTGATATCCTGGCAGCGGAAGCTGGCCGACTCGATATGAATAAGGATTTCTCCACTTAATTTCAACCAAATGGGGCGCTGGCGCAACGGTAGCGCGTCAGATTCCAGTAAAAGATAAAGTTCAGGAAGTTAATCACTTTCTAAGCTCTATACGGGATTCCTGAAGGTTTTCGGTTCAAATCCGGAGTGCCTCAGCTTTTTTGCCCTTTTTGGGTTCGTTTTCTATTCTGTAAGGTATTTTTTAATTTAGGAATTAATCTCACAATGTTCCGAACGTCCTGGCCAAATTTGGAGGTTATAGCTCCGTAGGGGCGGATGCAGTGAGTGTTTGAAGACTGGGAAATCGGTCTGCATTATCAATGATATCAGGACCGCCAGGACTTGTATACACATGCTTTCTTTTCTATTGCGCTGCGAAATAATTAAATTCAATGAAAAGCAATTTTAGACGAGGGCCCGGCGGTGCAGTGTGTGGAAATTCGCTAAAAACCCCAGCTTCAGGGTGGGCGACTTTTGAGAAGTTAGCACAGGCACAAGCGGATCCGCAGGGGCCACATGGCTCTTCACGGCTTGAATGGATGTTATACACATATTACAAAACAATTTTAGGGACCTTTAATTGTACAGAGAAGAAGACAAGGACAGTTCAAACGCTGGGTTGGTTTCTCCTACTAGCACTGCAGTCCCGTCGTCAATGCTTGTGGAAAGCATCCGAGATCGTTGTACTATACTTTATAGGACCGAATGTGTAGCAACTTTCTTTACTCAACCAAATTATTGAAGAATGTGGGAGGTTGTGAAGGCTGGAGGCTGGTCTGGTGCGCAGGGGCCTGTGCGGCCCTTGATTCGCTTACCTAATCAGCCCCACCGCCAACAGCCAAAGGCCAAAACACCAAATGGACTGACAGGCCTTTGGCTGATCTTTCTTCCTTTTTTCCTCTTTAGCCAGACTCGTTTTAAATTAACCATACTTCGTGATAAATGCTGTGCCCTTTGCCAGTGACTTTTCTTTGTGCCGTCACAGAGGTAGTCAAAGTCAGGACGAAGCCTCCAGTCCTATACAAGACTATCTTGGTAGTCTTTCCATACGCCATCTGCAGGCGAATTCCAACTTCAACACTTTCATACATACCGGATATACCAACAATCGCTTGGGATTGGACCCCTTTACTATGCCGTTCGTGAAGTAGATAAAGCGAAAAAGAACTCTACCGTTTTCACCAGATTTCAATCATAAGCTACACCGCTAAATGTGTAGTTTCATATCTTTTTTAGAAACTGCTCGAAGGGTATAACCTGGGTATACCTGGCTCAAATCGCAAGGGGCCTTATTTGAAAATCGTCAAGGTTCCAGACTTGTCAACTACATATGCGTCGATAATCCCGACGCTCATATCCCGTAACTTGAACCGGTAAATGTTATAAACGGCGTACATCAAATTAAGTGAGGTACATACCTCCTGTGGAGGGTAAAGGTCTTAAAGTACGTAGGATTTAAAGTGCGTAATATTCTATGAAGACTATATCAGCTTCGATTACCAGGGTATATAGACAAGACGTCAAAGTGCTTTCTTTTCGTATCTCCTTGTATATAGTAATTTTACTCGTCTCTTAAGGCCCCCGTTAACTTCTTCAAAACCAACTAATTTATAGCCTTCCAGGAACTTCCTCATCATGGCCATGTACTCTTCGAATCAAGGCTATCACGGGCAGCCAGCAGCCTAGCGTACCTTTCTTCCTTCCTGCCTTCGAAGTGACCATAAACCCTTTGAGAAGCCATGCTCACTCCGATTTCCCTGTACAGGATGCCATGAACCTTCTTACGTTTCAGGTTTTAACATTCAATGAGTTGGGACCAAAACAGAGCCCGACTTCCAAGCTCGCTACACGGAAGCCACTAGACAGCACTAAACAATGGTATAATAACCTGAAAGGTCATGCCAGACTGGGAGAGGTGTCTAAATACCTTTCAAGGTAATTGGCTCCTCTAAGGTTTTCTGACATCATTTCAAAATACGTGTCCGAACGTCTTTTCATAATACAGTCCGACGTTGTCCGCTTTCAGGTTCTCATTGGCTCTTTCTCAACAGTGTCAAGAAACTTGTCATCCTTCTCATGCAATTTGGTATGGAGTAGCTTGGGCGATCACCATTATATTAGACATTTCTGCTAGATGATAGTGATCTCCATGGGCTGACTTTTATAATCTGAGGAATCCCACGGATACATGTCAAGCAGGTATCCCACTCTCCTATACTCATTTTCCCTGTTGCCTGTGGGTAAAACGGCTATACCTGGCCCTTCGCTGCTGCCCATGGCCCCCTTCACGCCCAAATAAATACAGTAAAAGACTGTCCCCTTCACAAAAGCCCCGTCGCCTCTCTTCTGAGAAACATCCAAGATCATGTAACACGAAATAATATCGTCCTCCAAGGGCCTCAGCGGCCAATATCTGCCCTCACGGCGCGCTCTCAGCACAGCGGGCATCAGCCCCGTCATACACCTCAGAACCGACCCCTGGCCGAGAGCTCCGAAAGGAGCGCCGGGATCCTGTTGAACGTGAATATCCAACACTCGCATCCAATATCTAGCAGCAGATTTGCGTTTTTCGGCCTCGTGTGTGCTGATATAAATATCGACAGTGCTGCCTTCGCTGCTTTCGCTGCTTTCGGGCGTGTCTTGCGGGGGGAGAGACCGTCTGAGATGGGGGTACCAAACACCACCTTCCACAGATGCCCACGACCACGTTGGAGCAATATGCTCCAAACGTTGGGTTTTAACAGCGCTTTTGGGGTTGTCAACCGCTGAACAAGCCCATGCTAAACCCGACACAAAATCGTCCTCCCACAAGCCGGCCAGATACCGACAGTCAACAGGCTTGTAATGGTGCACCACTGCAGCCAGACCCGCCAAGGCTGGTAATTTATCGATATTTTCCGTCAACGATCGAGCCGAATAATTCTCTACGGCTCGGGACCAAAAATAATTGATACTCTTTCCTGTGAGCTCGACGTCCAGCAACCGCGGTAACCACATCTTCTTTACTTCACCTTCGTCACTTTCGCATTCCGGCCATTCTTCGTGTGGTTCAACGCCTTTTGGAAAGCTCTCAGAAGCACGGGTTGTCCGGCATTCCCATAATACCTGGCTTCCGGTGTAGTGAACGATGCGACGGGACAGCTCCCGTTCCTGGAAACACCAGCCGCGAGTAAGAAGGTTGCTTTCCCAAAATGTTTGCTGTTCCCTCTGAGCGTCCATGACCAAGATCTCCTGGTCCGAACCATCCTTGGCTGGATGAGAGAATCTAGCGGTCGTGATATCTCGACGCCGGAATAAGCCGATTTGGTCTTGTGTTGACGGTGTGCTGATGGCGATAGTGAAGTAGGCGTTTGTGTAGATATAGCTCATCATAGATGCCTCGTGGTTCCAGTCCTTTGGGTCGTCCTGTGTGATACAGAGAGAGTCAATCCAAATGTATTTCACACCCATCCTCGCCGCTACTTGGAAAGCATCATTGAAGATCTGCGGCAGACTGTGGGTATGAAGCCCGAGCATCTTGTCTTGCATAGTATCGGAAGTTAATTTAGCTTCAATGGGGACATCCTTCGGCCAGCGATAGCTCAAGGCGACGTATCTACATTCCGAAAATTTCATACTCTTGGTCGTCACGAGCCTTGGTTCGTCATTCGTGCAAATTGTATTGATCAATACAGGGTCTTTCGACGGAGTCAAGTAAATGAGTCTAGACGGAAGTGATGGCTCCCCTGTCGAATTCGGCGGTCCTGACTGTAACTGGCACTTCGTGTGATCCGCGTCGCAATTCTCTAGCCAAGTCCGAATTTGTTTGTAGGTTTGAGGCGATGACGTGTCTCCCGTAAGGAGAACTCTGGGCCCTGTCTCTCGAATGTCAGCCTCCAGAGCTTATCAATTACTGAAGAACCTCGGGGTAGCGATACAGGGCGAGTGGCCTTTGGAAGGATGTCATACCTCTATGTGCCTTATTCGCGAAGTGAAACATTGTTCTGAGCTCCATGACTGGACGTTGATACCGATCGTATTCGTCAAGACAGGGAAATGGCTCAGTCACTAAGCATTGCATGGTGCTTAGCTCGCAGTTCATCAAATTAAGAATCACGGGCGACGGTTGCGGCAAAGAAATTGACCTGACATCCAGCATTCTCCAAATAAAGCAGCAAAATGGGCAACCTGCGACTGCCGACGCCCTGAGCGCTACCAAAGACGAATGCAAGGTGAAGGTCTCTCGCGACTTTTCGTTGTAGGCGTGGTAGGCCGGGGGATCGGCCGAGTAGTAAGAGTTGTCAGAGTCGGGATCGTCATGGTGCACATCATCTCCAGTGACTTTATTGTGAAAGACACCCAAACTGGCATAGAACGCATCAATCTCAATCAATGACCCCGCCAGATACCTGCATGTTTCACAAAGCGGTCCTCTGCCTTTGTCTGGCGGCTGTTCTTCTTGCGGCAGCCGTGTAGTGTTTTGAAGCGCATCTCGCAGCCGCTTCTGCATATTCATGTCCCCGCTGTCTTCTGCGGCCTCGAGCATGGTCTGGCCTAGGTACGAAGTCGCACGGATATCTGCGCCCGCAGCTAGGAGAAGCTCGAAGACCTCAACATGGCCATTCCGAATCGCTAGGAGGAGCGGCGGCGCCGTAGACCCTATGACATTGACCTCGGCATCTGCGGCCAATAACAGCTTCACACCATCCAGAAAGCCACAAGCGGATGCAGACTGCAGAGAAGTCTTCCTACCGCTTTGAAATGGATTCTTCAAGTTTACGTCAGCTTTCTCACCCAGCAGCAATTTAACTATTTCAAGGTCGCCGTTAGCTGCAGCCACTTGCAGCATGGTATACGGTTCGGGTCTATCTAGCTGCTTCCCGTAAAAATCGACGTCGGGATGGCATTGAAGTAGCTGGTGTACAATCTGAGTATGGCGGTTGCGCACTGCCCTGTATAGAGCCAGGGACGCGGTTTGCCGAGCATCTTCCGGAGACATTAGTGCGAGCAGCCTTGCCACAATCTCGGGATGGTTCGCCTCGGCCGCGACCGACAGGGCGGTCCTGTCCTGGTATCCTGTATCAACGGTCGCGCCAGCTGCTAGGAGTGTTTCAAGCATGGTGATATTCCCAGCTCGCGCGGCAGCTTGGAGAGCAGTATCGGAATCCTCGATATC